TCTAACTCTTAAAATGTGTCTGTATAACTAATTCTAATTTTCATATCTCCATTTTTACGCCATATTAATTATATCTTTTTATTGCCTCCTGTTCTTGGGAGTCTCTTTCCTTTTATCACTTACACCTCTTTGTCGACATATTTTAGGGTTGTTTTGAAATGTAAGTTTATATTTTTAAGTATAACTTTATATTTCTTAAATATAACTCGTTTTTGATTTAGCTTATCTTTAAAGTTAATTTTTTATTATTATTGTTTACGTCAAGATACGTTTCGGGAGCAGAAATGATCAAACGAGATAAATATCGTCGAAGATTGTTTTTATAAACAATAATTCGGTCTCACCAGACGCTTCTCTGTAGATATAAAATATATATATATATCATATATATATATATATATATATATATATATATATATATATATTATAAATGGACAAGGCCCGACAATTTATTTATTAAAGACATTTTTATGTTTAACGTTTTATTTATAGATACAAGTATTTAAGCAAATGCTCTGTTTATGATAAACAGTAAAAATAACATTTACCGGCCTGAATGTCCGAGAAATTTTCATGAAAAATATCCATCAAAAGAACGAATATTTTCTTTAAAAATTTCTCGGAAACAGAGCATTTGCTTTAAATTTATAAATTTAACGTTAAAACATATAAAAATGTCTTTTAAATAAATAATATATATATATATATATATATATATATATATATATATACAGAGAGAGAAGGAGAGAAAAAATTCAATCACTTAATCATGAAAATTTCTCGAGAACCGGTTGTGCGGTCTTTAATATTTACAAAAAAAGCACAACTATCAAGTACATTAATTTTCTGTCTTAGCAATTCACCGTTGAAGATAATTTTTGGATGAGATTGTAAGTACTTGCGGAAAAGAAAAGAAATAACCAAAGCTACGGCATCTTTCTTAATCAGTTTTGTAACAGCACTAAGAAACTGCTCCATGAATTTGAGAGGATTGAAATAATAAATAGACATAATATGATTAGATTATTCAACCAAACATGGTTGAATGAAGATATGCTACCTAAACAAACACACACACACACACACACACACACACACACACACACACACACACACACACACACACACACACACATATATATATAAATATATATATATTATTTCATAAGCGCAGTACTTATTGGAAAGTGCTCAATATCAGTGATAACGCTAACATATTCAGTTGTATGGATATGAGCTTGTGACCCTGATTTTCACGCTTTTGCGATCATCAGACAAACGCTTTTGTTTTGTCTGATGATCGCAGACTCTTTTGTTTTTCTGGTGAACTGAATATAGTTTCATGCACAAATCAGCACCTGAAGATTGAATTATGTATATATATATATATAAGTGAACATTGGAGTCAACACTTAGAGGCGACAGGCTGTTTCGTACTAGATGCAATACACACGCTCTATCTCTGATATTGACCACTTCATCCATAAATATAGCACACCTTAGGTATATTACACCTCTATTATTTTTGAAAATCTATATAGCATGACAAGAACGGTCTGAAAATTAACGAAAAAATTTTTCATGATAAAAGTATATTTCATTATTATAAAAGTATTTTTTGAGTAATTTTGAAATTTTACTCATTCTTAGCATGTATTTAGTTAAAAAAACTTGTTTACAGAAAAAACGAAAAAAGCTCTATATCAGCCATATTTTTAAAATTTTAAAAATAAGTTAAATTCTTCGTTTAAAATTCGTTTAAAATTAATTATACGTATTTCAATATTTATTCGAAGAAATTTAGAAAATTTAAAGTTTATTTAAAATATTTTGAAAGAAACTTTTTACTTACTTTCTTCGTAGAAAAATGTTTTTTAAAAGATAGCCGATCTTCACGTTGCCGTTGATTGATTGATATATGATGACATCTATAAATTATTGACAGCTGACGTATTCGAGTTCCCATACAGCACAGAATGGACATATTATTTTTTTTAAGCGGACCTACTTAAGTAGTAACTTTGTAATATTTAAAAGTAAAAAAACTTTCGCCATTACAATTTTTTTTTTTTGTTAACTACTATATAGGTTTGTTGATACTCTCTGGAGAAATTATAAATACTATAAAAAAAAACTAAATACAATACTGCTGTTTATAGACCCCTCTAAATCAATTCAGATTTGCTATTATAAAAAAATTCTATCCCCAGTAAAAATAATCAAACATAGTAAAAGTCATTTTGTCACAGCCTATATTCTCGGAAAAATAAATAAATGGATTCTTATATTTTTATGTAATAAAATTACTTATCTGGAAAAATACCAGGTAAAGTTTATCTGAATCCCATGAAACTAGGTATTTTCTGAAAGCAAACAATTTATTTAAAATAAAATTGGCCAGTGTAAATGACTGAAAAGTTTTTAGTTTTCTAGAGGCAAAATTAAACACACACAACCTGGGTTTTATAATTAAAACCCAGGTTGTGTATGTTACGTTATTGGATCGAATTTCCACATTTTTTCAACCAATTTCAACCAAACATTACAGGACTACGATGAAAACTAGATGAAAGTACCTATTTTAACACGTGTTTCAGCAGGAACAGTTTGCTAAATTAAGGAGGCCGTATACGAAGAACAACCACTTACTAGACAGAAACTCAATCCACGTGACGTTATTTTTTATTGCACACACCAAACTTATATTTCATTGGTAAACATATTATTGACAAATTAATTTTTTTTTATATACGAAGACTCATTGTTTGTAATAAGCTTTGAAATTATAATCTGTAAATATATATCTACTTAAAAACAACATCCGTTAAGCTGTACGCGCTTTTCCATAATTTTAGAACAAATTAACAAATAATGTAAAATAAAAAACAATGGTTGCGGAAATAAAAAAATAATTGTAGGTAATTGTTTTAAAAATTCATTTTCATCGAAATATCTTTTGCTTTCAGACAATATTGTCCATGTTTATTGGAATAAATAAAAGCAATTAAAAGCTTTTGAAATTAAATAATATTTTTGTTTTATTGAGTTTTTGTATGTTACACTTCAGAGACGATTTTCAGGTAGAAGGGCTCCAACTAAAAAAAACAAAAACATGATTTTTTGTTTCCTCAAAGCATTTGCTTTTAACTGATATAATCACTAAACTCCTAAATTGAAATTATAGAGTTTTTCGTACAATTAGTTAGAGTGGGTAAATACATATAAAAAAAAAAAATTTCTGCGATGACTTTTACTAAAAAAAAAATGTATTTATAATAAGTTCCATCATTTTAAATAGTTTTGAAAATTTCATTAAAATCAAACAATTATTTTCATTTTTGCAAGATTTTCCAAATTAATGTGTGTCAAACAGGGAAAAAAACGCGCCCAAATGTTTAACGTTAATTTATCAAAGCTGATAAAAAAGAAACAAGATCTTTTAATCAAAATTTACAATGTTCTAAAAAAAGAAAAAAAAAATAAGTAAAAAATACTTTGATCTTTCCTCTAAAAGTAACATAAGCATTTAGACGCGAAAATTTTTTTTCATCAACTTTGGCGTCTTTTAATCATGCTATGCTCTTTTTAGCGATCC